AAAAAGAGTAAAAATAGCAAGAAAACCGTAGTGACTCCTGTCGAGACACTGCCACTCTGGGGGATCAGTTACCGCCTGCTTGGTGGTCACTGCCAGCTCCGAGAAATCACTCCTTGGAACTGCTACCTGTGTGAGCAACAGAAAGAATGTCAGAGCAGAGCCCCTGCTTTGCTTTCATCCTCCTGACATCAGCTCTGATAACTGGATGCCCTGTGCAACACTCGGGCTCCAAGAGCTCATTGCAGCCCCCATCCAGCACACAGTGCCCTGGGGGAGCAGCAGAGACACGAAAGAAGGGACAGCAAAAGAAACACCTGCAGGCAAAGCACCTGTACAGGCCAATCTTCCCCGTGAGGGTGGGCAGGCCCTGGCACAGGTTGCCCAGAGAAGCTGTGCCTGCCCCTGGGTCCCTGGAAGTGTCCAAGGCCAGGTTGGACGGGGTTTGGAGCCACCTGGGCTGGTGGAAGGTGTCCCTGCCCACGGCAGGGGGTGGCACTGGATGGGCTTTAAGAAACAGAAACGAGGAAGAGAATTTGGCTCATATTCCTTTTCCAGTATTAGACAATATGAATACAAGCATCAATAAATAATACTAACTCTTCTTCCAGAAAAACACCCATCTGGCTTTACAAATGCTTATAGACCTTATTGAAGCCAGAGAACGGATTTAAAGAGGGCTTACCCTGCTCAGGCAGCTGCTCTTGGATTTCAGCTGCGTTCATTTGATTTTGTTAGAAATCTCATTCAGAAGGCCTTTCAAATCAGAGAGCTTCACCAAAAAAAAAAAAAAAGGTTATTTATGTAAAGTCAATGTAGCTCATAAAAAGCAATGCTCACAAGTTATGTGAGTAACAAGCAATTGCCTCTCCAAATATTACATTAAATGCAACAGTGCTTGAAAGGACACTTCCAATTAGAGGGTTCATCGGGCAGTTAATGCAGTGAGCCCTGATGCAGATGTATTTCAGCTGGTTAACAGGAACAGAAGCACAATATGGATATTACTTTTCAGTAGAGAATTGTGGTTATCAGATCTCCTTTCAGTTTCACAAAGAGCATCACTAGCCACAGACTCACTCACCATTTCCATTTCAGCCTGGAGAGCAAGCCATTATTTTGCAGTCTAAATTATTTGACAGCAATCAAAAGATGTATTTTGAAGTGTTATGTGGGTCTTATCACCCTTGGACTTCTAAGAAGTCTGTTCTTCACGCCAGAGCAACTCCCTGCTTCAGAGGCCAAATACACAATTCAATCAAGCCTCAGAAAATACTCCCTGGGAAGGTCTTTTCAGTATCCCAGTCATAAAAATTATACCTGTATGACAATTCTGATAATGATGTGCTCTCTAGTAGACCGGTAGCTTTCCATTGCTTAATTACTTCATGCCTTCAGCTCTAGAAGCTAAATCTGACAGACATGTGTGGGAAGGGGACACTTCATTACTTGATCACTATAACCTTTCTCTGTAGTAGTGATCAGATGCATTGCCAAGTGTATCTTTCATAAGCCACTGCTTCTTCTGTAATTCTTTGCTGTTTTGCACTATAGTAAACTTAGACATTCATTCTTTAAAGTTGGTGTCTTTGTTCCTTAAATCCATCCTCATTCCCAGGGCAAAACAGACTGGCAAAACAGTGGCCCATCACCTGCTTTACCAGAGACAATCACGTTTCCCAGAGCAATTTCAAACACAGGTACCTTTGCATCCAGTTGTCTAAATCGATGCACCATCCTGAAAGCAGGAGGAGAACAGGGAGGAAAGGGCTGAGTTCAGGTATTAGAGAAACCTTGCCTAACTACCACACTCCCCTCCAGTGCTCCATCCTCCCAAGGAGGTGCAGCTGCAGGTGACTGGCATTGCTTTCATGACAAGTAAATGAACTAACACATGAACTACTATTAATAGGATGCTGTTCCATTTTCCTTCTCAAGACGCTTCTGCTTCCAATACAAAAGTTGCTTTTTGGGCATTTGTTTGGCTTCTTATGCAATGCTGGGTTGCCTCTGGGTAGTCTCAACTTAAACATTTATCTGTGGACAGCAACGTTCATGTGCAGGGGCACAGAAGAGTCTGGTGTTTCTCGCCCATTCTGATCAGCTCTTCCCTCCCATCTGATTCAGGGAAATACTCAAGCTGCTGGAAGTTAGCAACCAAGTTCAGCCATCACACAGATCAGGTTACTGTTCTGTTTTCCAGCTTTATTTATGTTTTTGTTGTTTTTTTTGTTTTTCCTCTTAGACTACTACTCTGAAAACACTGAGACAGATCCCGAAGATAGTGTGTCACAAGCTGGCACTCCAAGAAGCATAGTTCAAGGCCCCAAACTTCCAATCCCATCATTCCAAAGAGCATCTTCCCCTCCCCAGAGGTCTCTCCTCACTCATGCTATTAAGCACAGATCTCCATACAGATTAATGCTGTGGGAATGTTTGATATTCCAGGTGTAATGCTAAATATTCTCTGCTAACTGCATCATAGAATTATTTAGGTTGGGAGAGATCATCGAGTTCAATCCTAACCCAGCACTGCCAAGGCCACCAACAAACCGTGTCCCCAAGTGCCACACCCACATGGCTTTTAAATCCCCCCAAGGACGGGCACTGTGCCAGGGCTGGACAACCCTTCAGTAAAGAAATTCTTCCTAATATCCAACCTGAACTTCCAACATCACAAGAATAGTCAGTAATAGCAATGCTTTCCACGATGAGATCTCAAAACACCACAGCAAGACATTTTCTTCCCTGCAGCACATAAAAAGAGCCACCATTTCACTTCAAAAATTAAAAATAAAAAGCACATTTACGCTGAGTTTATTTACTTACTCATTAACGTTTGTAAACATTTAGAGCTGCTGGAAACTTGCCTTCACTAGAAATATTCAACAGAAAATTAAGGGAAGGAAGACAAAGAAAGAGGGGCAGACATGCTCTTCTGATGAATCATTTGCTTTGGTATTGATTTTGACAAGGTAATTCTCCTTCATGACAGCTTCCCATGCCAGAATTTCGTTGTCCTCGTTTCTTGAGCCTGGGAAATATATTGGGAAAAAAAAGAATAGTTAAATTTGTCTCTCTGATGCTAAAATGCAAAAAGGCTGGGTCAGCGCTTGCACCCACAGGTTAATGATTCCCTTCTCGCCATCCTGAGCACTCACAGCCCCACTTTCCCCTTCCCTTCAACTCCTGGCAACAGAGTTGGTTAAAAAGAGGAAATATGGAGGGAAAAAAAAACCAAACAAACAACCAAAACCAACAGAAAACCCCCACACTTCCAAGCTCCAAAAGTCCTTCTGGATTGTTTTTGGAGTCTGTTACCACAGGTACAACTGCTTCAACAGGTACAGGACATTCCAGAAACTTCCTATGTGGATTTGAGCTTTCTGTTTGTCTGCACACTATCCCATATTGGAACATTAAGAGTGAAATATGTTAAGAACCATGACTTGTCATTGAACTACAATATTTCAGAAAGATGAAGCACTGTCTTCTCTAAAAAGCATCTCCTGGTTATGCTGTAAATTCAGTAGTGACACAGAGCAACCCACCTGGAGGCAGCAAAGTCCTCCAGGATAATACTCCAGCATTTAGTCCTGTTCCATTTGGACAGCACAAACCACATGTGTTTTAATACAAAACTAAAATTAACGGAGGAAATGAGGGAGAAATAGCTAAAGGACTGACTGGCCACATTTTTGAGGTCCTTTGCCCATCTGGCCACATCCAGAGGGCCAGGAAACTCTATTCTCTTTCTGTCACTCTCCAGCAAACAGAACACATTTAAAAAACCACTAAACCACAACCCTGCAAAGCTGGAAAGCAGCACAGGCACCCCTAAACTGATAGGATGAATCCAAAGTCTTCACTGATTTACACACATGAGGTAATTCTACCTCAAAATGGCTCGGACAAGAAAACACTGGATAACTCTGACTTGAAGATTTGAATCTTACCCAAAGACTTCCAGCAACACAGTGGATTTGCTTATGAGCTGCTTCTCCCTTCCAGCACAACCAGCTCCTCCAAGGTCTTACAGTGCCCTTGGTAATTTCCCAGTAAACAACCAACTGCCTGGATTAGGCACAGAATGCCAAGCAGGAACTGCAATGCACCTGCCACAGAGACGACTTCTGGGCAGTAAGGACAAATCCAACTCACAACAAATGGATGGCTCTTTGCTTTCCTTCTGACAGCAGCACTTGAAACACTTCCTCATCACCGTGAACATGTAGGCAAAGATGACGAAAGGGAAGGGGATGGTCAGGCGACTGCAGTATTCCTGCACCAGGAAGTAACGCTGGAACTTCCACACCTGGTCGTTGTTCTCTTGCACTGATCCAACCGTGTAACTAATGGGTGAAGAAACAGAAAACACCCCCCAGGATTAGATACTCAGAGAGCCCCATCAGAGCCAGGGAATACAGCATTTCTGTGCTGCACCAGGGCAGGGTTTCACAGAGCCACAGAGTCACGGACTGGTTTGGGCTGGAAGGAACCTTAATCCCTCCCCAGGACACTGCACCAGCTTCCATCAGACTGCTGTGAGAAATGCAGAGCCCGAGGGCTGGCTTCCTGCTGTTTTCCAGGACTCCATTCCCCCTCCCAGAGATCCCAAGGAAGTGATGGCTCCTTTCTTACGTACCCAAACATGGCCACGAGCAGGTTCACGAGGAGGATGTTGGTTGAGAGCATGGAAATGCAGACAAGGGGAATGGTGATCCACTCGGGAAAGCGGGGCTGGTTGTTGGCATCCAGCTCCACACACAGGGGCTTGGACTCGTTCCCAGAAAAGGTGCAGCGGTCAAAGTTGTAGGTGGTACCTCAGAGGGGAGAGCAAACTGTGAGTCCTCTCCTCCTCTTTCTGCTGCTCAACACAGGCCTGGACAACCTCTAGAAGGACAGAGTCTTCCACCCAGCCACCCAGCAGAGATCCCCCCAGGAGGTAATTACCATCCACATCATCAGGGTACTGGCCAAACATGGCCAGGTAGGGCTCGTAGATGACCGATCGGAAGATCCACTCCCAGCGGTGCTCGTTCTTCCTCAGGATGCCTTGCCTGGCCACTCCAAAGGCCACCATCCACACAGCAAAGAGGAAGAGGAAGAAGAAGACGTCTATCATCTGAAAAAGGACGACAAGCGTCAGTGCCCCAACCGCACGTCTGCTCCAAGCCACGCGTGGTTTTTTGCTCCCGATTTCACCAACACACATCCACAAAAAAAATTAACAATCCCACTCAGGGAACTCCAAAAAATGTACAGCCAACCATAAAGGCACAGCATGTTTCAAATACAGGATATCCCCCTGGCACCAGACAGGCTCCACAAGAGCCAGAATCACATACAAGGGCTGTGGCTGCAGCCCCTGGCAGCCCATGTCAGGTGAAAGCAGCCACTCCTTCTGGAAATACCCCTGTGGATAGCTCAAACTAGCATTTATAGCCCAGACAGGCTAACAGTTCCTTGAATTTCCAGCTCTTAACAATGCACAGAGAACTGAAGGCTGGTAATACTCCAGCTGAGCTTCCCCAGTTACTACAGATCCACCTCCAGATCTGCCCTTCCACTAGCCCCAAACACCCTTATTATCAGACTTCTTCAAAACCACTGTAACAGGGACTCCTCACCACCCTCTTCTCCAGGCACCTGTGTGATGGATGCAGTGGAAGACAAAAATCCTCTTCCTATAACCATTTAGTATCACTGTCTTGTTTGGGGAACACCCACGTGGGCAACAGGAGTGATGGGATGCACCACTGAAATGTTTGAGACATGGAAGCTACCAGGAGCAACATCTCCTCTTCTGTTCTTCAGCCTGATGCTTATTCTTTCCCTCAGCACAGAAAAAAGCCCTGCTCTTAATTACATCCTATTTAAATCTCAATTCATCCTGTTCAGCAGAGCTGAACTTGCTGCCATCACCAAAACGCGGTGATTTCACTCTTGAGGGGAAAAAAAAAACAAAAAGAAAGGTGTTGCATCATTTATTTAGACTCTCTTGAACAGCTGCCAGAATCTTACCATCCTCTGCAGCATAATAATTTTGGGTCCTAGATTCCTGCTAACTGTGAAAATATGGATCAGCCTCAGAGTAAAAACTATGTAGTCCAAACAGAAAATGACTCTCCCGGAATACCAAGAGCTTTCATCAGAGTGAAGCCTGACGGAGACAGTAAAAGAAAATGAAGACAAGTGTTGGGTGAAACATGCAGAAGTCAGGCAGAAACACATGGAAACATTGAAATGGAGAGTGAAAAGCGAGTAAATTGTAAAGCAGAGCCCTCTCCCACCTGGTGATAGAAGTGTTTAATGCACACCTTTCCTACATCATCCCTGCAGCTCCTCTTACCTTCAGAACTGTTAACAACAAAGAAATTTGTACCTCTGGCTACTCCCACAGCCCTCCAAAACCACACAGGGCAACAACCCCTCCACTGCACTGAGGTACCAGCAATAACCTACAGCTGAATGAACAACTAGCCTGGAAAAAGTGTTTGCATCATTTCTTTGCCATGGTTAACTCACCCCATCAAGTAAAACAGGTTCTGGGAGATAACAACACTGTTAGACTGTGGGAGGGACAATCACAGGCCCCTTAAACACAGCACACTGAAGCTCAAAGAGTCCAGACTGCCAGACTAAGTAGTGAGTAACAGGAGCCAGGGAGAGTCCCAAAGATCTCCTGACTTCTTTTTTGTTTGTTTTTTTGAGTTAAGATTTGGTAGTATTGGGGGTTTCATAAAGAACAGGGAGCTTCACAAACATATTGTTTCCTAATATCTCATTACAGGTTGTAGTCAAAACCCACGAAGGAAGCAAAGCCATACCACAGCCAGAAGAAAAGGTGCTACTCACCTGAACACAATCCCTGCTATGAAGTAGAAGATGGCCAGTGTATCCATAACATTCCACAGATCTGAGAAATACTTACTGCCATTTATGTACCACTGGGAAGGAAAAAGAGCAGAAAGTAACCCCCACACAACACGATTTCCTTGCCCAATTCTTTCTGCTTTTCATTTCCCCCAAAGGGAGGGGGTTTAATATATCCAACAATGCCAGAAATTACTGGCCACCTGTTTTTCAGAATCTGGGTGTGACCCACTAAGAGCAATGAAACACTGAGGGGAGGAGGGGGAGTCACTTAAGTGGGTTGATGAATTCTGGCTTCTGTTCTTTCACAGAGGTCTTCAGGAACCTGTCCCTGGCTACATGCACATGCTTTGGATCAAAGATGCAGACTGAATTTATTCCTTTAATGACCTGGCTCTCCATTTATGAACTGCAAGTCCAGTGAGAATCTCTGCCCATTCCCAGACTAACTGGCAGTGCAGCCTGGATCCAAAGTTTGTGCAAGAACCGACGTCCTGAATCAGTTCAGAGGCGACTCATGAGGAAAGAAGGTTAATCAGGAGAAAGCTCTGCCAGGCCTACAGAAATAAACGGTGTCCCTGATCATAATTCTTTTTAATTTTCACTGAAATGATCAAAGTTTAGGGGAGTACTGGTCAGTGAATCTAACTGGCACATCCAAGGAAAGCCATTCTGCTCTCAGTACCATTATGGGGGACAGAGATCAAGGGGAGTGCTCTCCCAGGTGGAAAAGAAGCTGTGAAGTAGAGAGCCCCACTTTATTATTCCAATTGCACTTCCTTCACGTGCTGGGACGCACAGCTAAAATGGACAAGGTGGCAGCTGCCAGGGTGCCAGGCTCAGGAAATACCTTAGGAATTCATGCCAGGCAGCATTTCAGCACTTCAGGGGACACACAGCCCTTTCTTACACCTTAAGGCACCAAAGGCTGAGCACTGAGCGGGGACAGCACATCTCAGAGCCGTGACATCAGGCTGTCTCTGCCCAGGAACTCCCTAAATCAAACAGAACAACATAGAATGCGGTGCAGGTCAGTCCTCAAATTCCAAGCACTTCCTGCTGCTGGGGCTTCAGAGGTTCTGCCCTGACTCCTCTGTCTGAGAAAATGGAGCTTTCCTGCACACTCACCAGGCTACCCACTCACCTGGCTGGAGGCTGCATCCGTGTGGCTACAGACACAGCAGGGAAAAGGCCCCTCCGATGTCACTGTGGCCACGACAGAGCAGCTCCAGCCACTTACTCATCTCTGGCACCAGCAGAACAGAAGACAGGGCTGAGCCAGTGGCTCATGGTTTGGATACATGGTTCAGTTCTCCTGCTCTAAGGCTGGAACAATGTCTAGTAGCTGTCACTTCCACAGCCGCCCCGCTCACCCAACAGAGGGCTGATTTGTCCCCAAAACTGGTTATCCAACTGCAGCAGCTACAGTGGGAACCCAGCCAACACTACTCTTACTTTTCCTTGGATGTGAAAACAAAATCTGACACATCCCTAGCTTTTCTTTTTCTTTTTCTTTTTTTTTAATATTAAGGACACAGATAGTATTTTGATGCAGAGTTAGACTAATGCACACACAATGTATCTTGGAGGAAGCCAGGGAGAAATTTCCCTGAGAAACTTAAGAGGATTGGAACACTTTTCTGCATTCTGCTCCTTAGCAGAACAGCTTTGAAGTCAGGACACTGGCTTGACATAGCTAAATCTTCACCAAAGTCTCTGTTTTAGTTGCCTCCACTCCCACAGCCAAATTGGCCACTAGTTATTAATGGGATTATTGGGATCTGCAACTGTTCTACCTGCTCAGGGTGGCAAGGAAAAGGGACATTGGGAGGAATTTAAAGTTTCTATCCCTAAGGCATTTCCCCAGGACTTTTGCTGGGTACACACAGGAAGTGCAAGGACAGGTCCAGAGACACCAGAACCTAAATCAGCAGAAACAAACACTCCATTAGTGTTTTCACTGCAAAAGAGTCTCGTATTCTCCCCCACTTTCCTCAGCAAGTAAACCTGACATAAACAAGGTTCCTAAAAAGGGAAAAGACCACAATAACATCAACGTCAGCAATGTCACCTGAGCTCATGTAAAAAGTGTGCCTTACAGGAGCCAGAAAACAGCACTGCAAACACCAAACCACACACCCAGCCACTGCTCTTCTGCTTTCTCCTGCATGCTCCCACTGCTCTGAACACTGACTGGCAGGGACCAGCTTGCCCAAAACCCAACCATTTCATGTGTCCCCTTACACGTGAAGTGAGAAGACACCAGTACGTGGCTGGCTATAAAGGCTGTCCTGCATGCTGCTCCCACACCACAGCTTATCTGCTCCTACATTGAATTAGTAAGAACTGTACAGATGATTAAAAGCTAAACAGAAATACATAAAGGGGTGGGATGCGGAGAAGGGAAGCGGCAATCACTTGATCTAGGAGGTAAGCACCCAGATAAATGTGCTAAATCTAATCCTCTGTTCTGAACTGCTTTGGCAAGCCAAGCATTCCTGAGAAATATCTCCACTGGCATCAGCTTATCCACACACTCCTCTTGGTGCACGGACCCTGCAGCTACTGGGGCACAAGTAGGAATTAAATATCAAAGGAAAATAAAATATCTATTGAGCCTTGAGCTGCCTGAACACCCACCCCATCACCCCAAGATATCCCCCTGCCCCTGAGCACCAGCCTGTGCTGCCTTACACTACTACAGGGAGGGAAAACCACAAGGCCTTGGCTCTAACACTGAACACTGGGGTTGCAAGCGCTGCCTACTTGTCTCACTTCATCACAAAGCAGAATGAAGACCAGCACGTAAAGGATGATCTCCAGGGCGGTGGGCTCCTTCTGGAAGTCCATCAGCAACACGTAGGCGAAGAGCAGCAGGAAGGCGATGTAGAAGATGGCATTCCAGGAGAAGACCACGAAGGGGGAGGTGAAGAAGGACACGTAATACAGGAAGAGTTTCTTACTCCTCTCCACAGGCTTTTTCCTGAGGGATGAAAAGAGGGAAAAGGTCTCAAATCATAGCTTTTATGCCTGGTAACACCTGTGTTCTTCAAAGCAAAAATGGGAAAGGTGCAGAGTCTAGCATGGGATGTTACTTCAGAGGTGAGGCCATCCTGCATCCACTGACCTCGGGCACTCCAGAACACTTGTACAGCTTCCAGGCCAGGATGGAGGGGCTTGGAGCAACCTGGTCTAGTGGAAGGTGTCCCTGCCCATGGCAGGAGGTGGAATGAGATAAGCTTTAAAGGTCCCTTCCCACCCAAACCAGTCTGGAATTTTGCAATCTTAACTCCAAGATTGGAGTGAAGACACAAACTGTTAAGAGTTCACTCAACTTCTGAGACTGATTGAACACTAGAACAGGTTTTCCAGGGGGCTGTGGCATCTCTATCCCTGCAGAAACTCAAAACCCAACTGGACACAGTCCCAGGCAACCTGCTCCAGTCAACCCAGTCTGAGCACAGGGTTGGACTGGGTGATCTCCTTCCAGCCTGAACTGCCCTAGGATTCTGCAATTAATTGACTTGCTTGCTTTCTGCTAATGAGAAGCCAGTTAATTACCTGAATGAGATGAAACCACAGCCTATTAAAGGGAAAAAGAACAGGCACAGTATGATCTTCCAGTTCTTAGTGTCTCTCGAAATCTCTCCATACCACTGCTTGGAAAGGAAATTCTGCAGGGAGGAAGAACACATTCTCGTTTGTTCTAACAGCAATGAAACAACCTAGAAGTGCTATTAAAAAGCATTTGATTTAGTAAAAAGAAAAACCAAAACTTTGAGATTTCAATCAAAATAGTTGAGACTTCTGTTTCAACAATAAAGAACGCTTTCTGCATTAGTAACCATGTGCCAGGTCCTTAGTCCAGCCATTCTCCATCTGTGTGATGAGGAGTTAAAAGTGAGGCTGAGAGCAGGACTGGACCTGATTGATAAGACACATATAAATCATGACCTTTTATGTAATGCCCATCCACACCAGGTCTTAAATCCACACTGTGCATATACAGCGCCGTGCCAAGGCAGAAATCACTTCAGGCACTCTCTACCATCCAGTTCATTATGATTTACAGCTTTAAATCAAGATTCTTCCCTCCTGACTTAGCACTTGTGGGTAAATCAGCCACCTCCTGTTTCCACAAGAGGAGCCACACACGTGGTCAGGAGTTACAGCCATCCATCTGAGCACCTTCTGTGCACTGCCATCACCCACCTGCACGCCTGGCTGGGCAATAAACTGCTGGTCTCTGGCTTCCACTGCCAGTTCCAGGCAGTTGCTCCCTCCCCAGGCTTCACAGGAGTAAGTCAGCAGCTGCTCGGCCAGCTCCTCGTCGTTGCTGTAGCACTCGGTGAACAGCTCTGGAGGGAAGAGGCAGCCCCGCACTGAGCTCCAGCTTCCACTTCCCACCAGCTTGGGTGCAACTGCCTTCAGTATAACAACATCTGCAGTACCAGAGCGTGCAGACAAGCAGAACTCCCTTCACGTTTTCCCCGCTGTAGAACAACGTGTGTGTTGCTTTACAAACCCCACCTGCACGTGTTACAACCCACGGCTGGATGGGAAACTCTAACACTAAATCAGCTGACAAAAGGGACAGCGCTGGGTTGAGATCTGCACTAAAACGCAGAGTAAAAATATGAGCTTTTCCTTAAATGACTCAGCATTTCTACCTATTTCGTCTTCTTAAATTCCATTTGGCACTGATCTAATGGATTACAGTCACTCCCATATTAAGGGCTGGGAAACGTCAGAATCTGATGCTTTTTCACTGGGAAATGCTTTGTTCACCCATTCACTCCTCAGTGTCTTGCTAAATCAGACCTGAGGGATGCAGACACTTGTAAGAAAGTTTATTGAAGCAGTTTTGGCCCTGTGGAGTAGGAGATGCTTTCTGATAACAAGCAAGATATTTTCAGTGTGGCCTTGTACCACTCCTTATAGAATCACAGAACCATTTAGGTTGGAAAGGCCCTCTAAGATCACTGACTCCAATCATTAGCCCAACGCTGTCATCTTAGAATAAGGAAGGGATATGATTTTTCAGTTCAGAATTTAGGGATCCAATCTACTATTTACCTGCCATTTATTCTCACTCCCCAAAAGTGCTCCTGCCAATCTGAAGGGTGGCTTTTCCCAACCTGAATATTACACCAGTGCTCATGGGGAAAGCTTCTCTTTTTCCATTTTCTCCTCCCTGATTGTGCGACACCCTTCTTCTAGCCTTGCCATTAGAGTAAAGCAGCTTTTATTATCCTACAAGAGAGGTTCTCTATCCCAAAAAACCCCATCCCTCACCACCTGCTTTTGGAGGCAAGCTGTTCAGACAAGGACACACAGTGTCTACCAGGAACAGACAGTGTAGAAGAGATTTCCAAGCAGCAGGAACACATGTTGACATTAAAGAAAAACACTTCACGTTGGATATTTAGTTTTCAACTCCCTGATCTCTGACCCCTCCTACTAAATTTGTAAAGAACTTAAGGAGAAGGCACTTACCCACTGCTCTTGTCTCATACTCGTTAGCGAGTTCCTCAGACTCACCAGCAGCATTTATGTCGTTCTTCACCTTGGCCATGCTTTTCAGGAGCTTGCTGGCCCCAAGGGCTGCCAAAGTGCAGCCTCTGGTCTGTGGAGAGGGAGAGAGTCAAGCCATGCAAATCCCTCTGTGAAGGGAACATGGTCACAGAATCACAGAACCAGAGTGGTTTGTGTTGGAAAGGACTTAAATGTCCATCTCATCCCAACCCCTGCCATGGGCAGGGTCACCTTCCACTAGACCAGGTGGAAGCTGACATATTCTCTAAAACTTATCCCCTTCTTTGCAGCTTCTCAGTTCCCTGTCAAGACTGGGAAGTGAAGATCCACCGAATGAATGATAACCAGCAGTGTGGTGGATTGGGAACAGCTCTGCAGCCAGTCTGAAAAGGTCGTGTGGGTGGGAACTCGGCATCCAAGCCTGAGCACAGATGAGAACATAAAACTGGCTTGGCCTGCTGACTCACACATGACCCTAAGAAATGACCCCACCAAACTCTAAATGGGCAACACTAAACCTACTTAGAGTCACCTAGCAATTATGTCTCCTGGTTTTGTGTCTGAAGATGGATCCAGAGCCTTCAGAGGCCTATAAACCAAGAGACAGAGAACCCCAATGTAAGGAATACAGGAGAGTTCAACTTACTTGCTCCCAAATGACTTTAGACAACTCTTTCTTGTTCTGAAGGACTGACCAGATAAACAGAGCTTGTAATGGGTGCCTTGTGATAGGACACTCCTCCTGAAAGAGAGAGCAGCAATCCCTCAGACCTCAGCTCACCAAACTGTTCTCAGCTGGCACAAATCCAAGCCTGCCACTCTCTTGTTTTCACATTTTCTTCCTGTCACAGCCCGCCCACCGACCCTCTCCCTCAGCTCTGAGCCACTTGTCACACACTGTGGCGAGTTAGGTTATATTTGGTATTTATAGTAAAGCCTTACATCAGTCTCCCTGTTTTCCCAAAGGTGGCTCTACAGGACATTTGAGCCACAGTCACTCCCTGCATTAACCCATGAAGCAAAGATAACCTCAGTCCCAGTGGGATCCACCACTTACTGAGAGGTGAATCTCCATCTCATCCTTGCTGTTTTTGTAATCCCTCTTGGCCCCTCTTCGGAAGTCCTCAACCATCTTCCACACGAAGGTGAGGAGGGCGTCGTTGTAGGAGTTCTTGGCGATCTGCAGGTTCTTGAACACCAGGCTGCTGAAGTTGTTGGTGTACAGCTCTCTCAGGACCTCCGTGGTGAGGAACTTGCGCAGATTCAAGCCATTTTCCAGGAACAGCTGGACAAATTTGGGCCTGTCCTTCACGAGGGCTGTGAACATCACGTCCTGTAGGTCGGCAGACTGGGAGGAAACGGGAAAGCAATGTTAGGGAGCACGTGAGCCATGTAAAGCTCACCTCTGGCCTGACACGTGGCTTGCTCACCTCTTCACCAGAACCAGCTTTTTTCTGCATGCAATTGCCTTTGTTGGGTGGCCCAGAGCACTTTTGGCATGGGCAGATCACCTTGGAAACAGTGACCACAGAATCACTGGATATCCTGAGCTGGAAGGGACCCTCGAGGATTGAGTCCAGGACACCCCAAGAATCCCACACTGCACCTGAGAGCGTCATCCAAGCGCTCCTTGAGCTCTGGCAGCCTTGGGATGCCCCTGTTCCCAGAGCCCCCTGTCCCACATGGCTGCACTCCCCCAGGGGGTTTGTACCTCCCAGTTGCGGTCATTGGTGAAGATCTCATCGCTGGCCAGGTCCAGCTGGTTCCACTCCAGCAGCAGCTTCAGCTGCCCGTTCCAGTTATCCCTGTCGTGTTCATTGGTGCTGAAAGCTGCAGGGGGGAACAACCTCTAGGTAAAGACCAGAGAGCTTCCTGGCATGCTTGGCTCTGCTTCTCATGCTACCTGACAAGACTCCTTCCAAGTGTCTTTCCCATGTTCCTGAAAGGCTTTCAGAGGATGCTGGAGGCTCAGAGACACACATATGGTCCAACACAGGCCACACAAAAGCTGCCAAGATTACCTCATAACCACAATCAACACAAGTGTCGTGCAGGACACAAGAAGGAGTTTCCTTCAGGTTCCTCAGGGTCCTGCAAAAGGTTTCCCAACAGGGCCCTGCCAGCATCCCCAAAGCTCTCCTAAATCCCTTCCCAATTACCTGGTTTGGACCTCAGCCACACTAACAGATCCCACACTGTTCCTGTACCCTGCCCACACCACCCCAGATGAAGACAAGCTCTACCCTGTGGCAGGAGGGTAGAGAGATGGCACTGCTCTAAGGAAAACTGTCCTAGAAAACAAATAACCATCTTTTCCCATTCATTTTAAAAACCCAAACAAACCTCAACCACAAAAAAAAAAACAATTACTTGCCTTTGTACAGAGCAAAAGAAATGGCATTGCTCACAATTTCATCTCCAGCTTCTTCTATTTTGATCACTGTCAGTAAATGAGGGCTCTCAAGGACCTCTTTGATCTACAAAAAGAAAAAGTTCCATTTCAAAGCAATCAAGGCTGTCTAGTAGCTGATCTCCTGGAGCATTTGAAAAAGAAATTTCTCACCACGTTGTGGTAAAGTTGTTTCTCATCAGTCTCGTTTCCACCAATAGTTAAAATTTAAATAGGCCCAAAGAGAAGTAGATAATGACATTAAGTACAAGATTAATTATCCTCTGAACATACAGCAAATAACTGATTCCCCTATGCAGAACCAAAAACATATAATCTCAGAATAATGTTGTGGTGTATGTACACTACACTGTTGTGCCTTTAACTGCATTCCATGCACACAGAGCTGGCAAATCCACCTAACAGAGTCCCAGTGGAGATGGGGTGAAACACTGACCCAGAAAGCCTCCAGCCCTAAACATCCCACTCCTGGTGGGAAATCCCTCCTGCCCCACGGCTTTCTTCCTGCATGCCTTAATAAAGGAGCTCAGGGAAGAAGTGACAGAATCCTGAAGAAGAATCACTGCAATTTGAAGGTCTGTGGAGCAGCAGCAATAACCTCTTCTCTCTGAGCAGTTCTGGAACTGCAACACCAACCAGCTCAGCAGCCAAGAGGCACATCCAGCAGCCAGTGCTTCAGAGGAGTCACGAGCGTCCAGGAGCAGACAGTCACAAGACACCTGGCCTTGGCTCTCCTGGGACATGTGCTGACTTCCTAAAAGACTGGGACCCCTCACCTCCTTGTATCCCGATCCCTGTGAGAGTCTGGAATTGTCCTTTTTTTTTTTTTCAAATCCCCGTGGATATAACGTGGCAAGGAGCCCTGCACATCCCACAGGCATCACCAGGCAGCAACATCCCCGCATCCCTCGACCCTTCTCCCACAATCCCACACACTCACCCACTTGATCCAGCTTTCAGTCTCCTCCTCCGAGAGCCTGGAGATGGTGCGGGGCAGGAACCTGAGCAGGCTCTCCTTGACACAGGAGGAAGCAGGAGCGCCTTCTGCCTCCACCAGGCTCGCAATGACATCAGCGATCCGGCCAGAGCCTTCCACCACCACGCAGGGAATCTTACTCTTGATGGCCACGTTGATGGACTAGGGAGGCAGAGAGGATCACCTGGAGCGTGACTGCGTTATTAGAGCCTGCTACTGAGTAAGGAAGCCCAGAGAGCAACCCAGCAGTGCAGAAGAGTGTTTTTATTACTGTCCACTCACACATGACCAGTGGCAAGCCTCTAAAACATCACCCATCTAATGGCAGAGGGCTGCAGAAAGTCCCACAGAAACCGAGGGGCAGACATCACCATCTGCCAGATTTGCATAGAATCACAGGTGTTTTGGGTCAGAAGGGACCTTAAAGACCACCTCATTCCAACCCCTGCCATGGGCAGGGACACCTTCCACTAGACCAGACTGCTCAGCTTTTGAGTTGATCATCAAGCACTGGAAAGACACATTAGCAAAGAGACAGTTTTCTGAGAATTTAAAAAAAAAATAAAATCAACTTAGCATCATCAAAACCACAGACAGGTTCCTCCTGTCAGGTGGGGAGCAGGTCTGTGACAAAGGCAAGGTGTTTTTCTCTTACCAACTACATCAAAGTGGTTTTCTAAAGAAGGGTTCAGCTAAAGTGCACGTTTTACATCACTGGGAATTTAAAACAGAAGCTTGGAACAGTTTTATTTCTCCTCTGCTGAAGCTGATTCTTGTCATCACTCACAGAAGCTGAGAAAGAGGGAGCCTTTCCCTGCCAACATTTCTAAGTTTGAGGTCTGGCTAGGACAGACCCTCACAGCACAGAACCTGCTCTGTCATTTGGGATGAACACAGAACCTGCAAATGAGCAAGAAGGGAGACACAGGTGTCTCAGTGCACTTAGTGACACTGAGAAATAAAACTCAGGACAAGAGGGAACGGCCTCAAGTTGCACCAAGGGAGGCTGAGGTTGGACAGCAGGAAAACATTCTTCACTGAAAGGGTTGTCAAAGCACCAGAACAGGCTGCTCAGGGAAGTGGCAGAGTCACCATCCCTGGCAGTGTTCAAAACTGTGGAATATGGCACCTGAGGACATGGTTTGGTGGAGAACATGATGGGGCTACATTGTTGGAATTGGTCTTAGAGGTCTCTTCCAACCTTAATAATACCATGATTCTATTAAATAGCCACGAGACTGGTATGGATACTGAAATGAACCATCATCAAGTTACCTTCCAGAGGAACCTCTTGCTAGGAATTATGCATTTGGTTTGACAAGGCTTTCACTCATTCTGACCAGCCACTAAGTCTGTGTTAGGTGTCATTGCCTAACAGTGGCTCTGAGGTGTCTCTGTAACACACACGTAAATCCACAGCACGTAGAGCCAGCTCCTTCAGTGATGGCCAGATCCTCTCTTAAACATCAGCAGTTTGGAGTTAAAAGGAGATGGACACATTCAGCACCACCTTTTGAGCACAGCTTTCCCCTAAAACCTGAATGGATCCTTCATTTCACCTCAGGACCTCTGAATAACGCTCTGCATCCACAATGCCCTACAACCTATCTGTGGGAAAAGCAAAAACTGACCAGGTGAATGGAACCAGAACACCCAGGAAATGCTCAGGGAGGGCTGGGATAACTGAAATTTCACACAGGGGTTCAGACTAATTGATTAACATCAGCAGTGAAGTGGTAGCAGACCTGCAAAATCAGTTAGTACTGATTAACTTCAGTACTAACAGGAGAACAGAAAAGTACCAAGATCACCTCTTCAAGCAAAATAAATCATAAATGTCACTCTGCTTCAATTTCATCGTGGGCAATAAGTAAAAGAAATAAACTTACTTTCAAAGTCTCCTTCCCTCCACCTTGGGCAAAACACACAATGGGAATCTTCCCACCATAATTCGATTCTGTGAAACAGGCCAAAAGTAAAAAGAAGGACAGAGATTAAACCTACTAATGCAGTTTGAACAACTTCTGTTTCCTGAGTACAGTGAAAGAATTTCCAAGCAGTTCATGCAAAAACTAGTTTGACGTTGATTTTGCCACAGGTATTAACAGCTTTTCCTGTTTTTAAGGAAAACTCAGTTTTGACTAACATTCTGCATAGCTGGCTTCAGATCTGCTTCTCCAACAGAAGCCTTTTCCTGCTAGAAGTCAAAATTTTTTCCTCCAAAACATGATTTTACTGCACTTACCTACTACTTTGACCATTTTGAGTCTCAGCAAAAGGTTCTTATCACAAGTTCAAGATATACAATCCTCTGAGCTCACATTTTCAGTTGTAAAGGAAAGCTAAGAATCTCCAAACTCTAAGAGTTAGTGTTTGAGAGACATTCCAAGAACCCCCAAACCCAAAACACTTCTCCCCCCCCCAACAAAAAAAAAAAACCAGCTCTTTAACTAAGAAGTTAGTTAACTAAGAAGTTAGTTAAAGAGCATGCAAGGATGAGCAGGAGGAGCTCTGCACCCCGACCCCCACACCAACCTGGGATAACCCGCTCCGAAATGTACTTTTCCAGCTGGGTTCGTACTTTGGCCTCCGTGGTGGGGTGCCCGTGGGTGCCGTTGTCCACCAGCAGCAGATGGGTGTGGTTGTTGTCCAGGCAATACAGGGGGTCTCTCTTGAGGTCATCCATGATGTAGTGGGCCAAGTAGTTGCCCTAGGAGCACAAGCACAGCCTTGAACAGAGCGCCAGGGGCAGAGCACGCCTTGCTGGGAGGGTGGGCAGGCCCTGGCACAGGTTGCCCAGAGAAGCTGTGGCTGGCCCTGGATCCCTGGAAGTGTCCAAGGCCAGGCTGGACAGGGCTTGGAGCAACCTGGGCTGGTGGCAAGGTGTCCCTGCCCATGGCAGGGGATGGAACGAGATGGGCTTTAAGTCCCTTCCAACCCAAACCGTTCTGTGATTCTATGACAAGCCACGATAGTTGAACCCCAAGCCACCAGCTATTCCTCATTAGCTGGGAGTCCAAATTTCCTGACTCAGGACACTGCTCAGTGGCAGTACCAACAGCAGCAGAAGGCAGTGAGAGAAACCAGCACAGGAGCACAGCACAAATATTTGCAGAGAAAGTTTTTTTCACAAGAGTTGCCTGATTTGTGATGATCCTCTCCTAACTCCACCTCAGCCAACACTTTAGTCCTTTCAGAGATCCAGTTAAATTCATGCTTCCTTCAGCCATCCAAAACATTACACCTGTGGCAAACTTACTTTCACAGAATCACAGAACATGCTAAATTGGAAAAGATTATCAAGTCCAACTCCTGGCCCTGCACAGCACCATCCCCAAGAGTCACATCATTTCAACACCTCGCAGAATCTTTTAGCCCTTCTGAGATCATCCAGTTCAACCCTCAAATATCCTTAGAGATCTAGTAGGACAGTTTTTTAGATGTGTTCTGCAATGTCTAGTGGACAAGAGGCAAGGGGAGCCATGCAAAGTTAGATGACAGTATCAGTGAAGATCCTTAACAACAGCAGCAAGAACAACTTGTCTTAGCTGGTGGGAAACCCCACTATGGGTGAGTGCACAGGGATTTTCCTGGGGCTTAGAATAACCACGGAAGAGGTTATTCCCTAATGCAACACCAGACATGGAATTAGGGCTGCTGAACTTCCACACAGACATGCTCAAATCTGGTACAGCTGAAATCCTCCCCACCAGGCCTGATGTGTGTGACCATCTCAGACACTCTGGTTTCCTCCTGTTCTGGGAGGAGCACCTGACGTTTTGAGGCCACAGCCTCCTCTTTCTTCTCCCACCACCCCATCCATGTGGCACTTGGGGACATGGTTAGGTGGGGGTTGGACTCGATAAAGGTCTTTTCCAACCTCGTGAGATCCCCGGTTCCCCGCTGCTCACGTCGCTGTCGGCCGCGCGGATGAGGGTGTCCCGGTTGGAAATCATGCCCCAGGCCGCGATGCCGATGGCCACCACGTTCTCCTCGGAGCTGCGGCTGATGGTGTTGTCCCTGACCACCTCCCCGATGTACTTCATCAGCCCGTAGTGAGTGCCCCCGGTGAAGATCCAGGCCCCTGCAACAACACCACCCAGTGACCCGGGGGGAACGCAGGGAAACACCCACCCTGCCCTCTGCCTTCACATACAACCACCCAAACCCCTGTTGTGACCTTAGGGGAGGTGTTTGTTCCTCAATTAAACACAGAAGATGTGCTACACGACTCACCCCACGCTAACCCTCGACCCTGTTACTCCCAAACCGTGGGGTCACGCGAGTCCCAAACGCACCAGCCGGGCAGAAGCAAAGGGAACGCTCTGCTTTCCTCCTCACCCTTTGAGCTGCTGCCTCTCCCAACACCGCCCTGCAGCGATCAACCCCCCCAGGCCCCACGGCAGGTCCTCACCCTTGGACTGGGCGATGTAGATCAGCCTGCTGAATATCTTGCGCATCCGGGGCTTGAGCGCGAAGTTCTTGGCTCCGCCGGTGACGGAGATGACGAGGTTGGGGGTCTTGAGGTGCCAGTGCTGGGTCATGAGGTCGTAGAGCGTTTCGGAGTCCGTGTCACACGACAGGCGGATGTACTTGGGGGAGAGGAAAGGGGAGAACACACAGAGCGGGATGACCAAATATCCCAGTCCTGGACTACACCCATAGGAGCGTTTCAAGTGTAACACATAACAACTGTATCAAACATGTGGTACGGGTTGGACTCTGGCTTTGTCTTGCTTTGCCATTCAAGAGCCTCTTCACAACTCCATCAACTGGTGGGATGGACTTTTGGAAGACAGCTATGGCTACACAGCCCATATCGGGGGGACGAAAGGGAGCAGCTCAGACCTGATTCATGAAGACCTTGCAGAGATTGCCCAGTAGAGCAAAACCAAAAGACTCATCTGAGGAAGAAAAGCCCCTGAGGCACTGAAGTTGAATGAAAGAACAGATGCCTGTGTTCCAGGACGGGTTCCCAGGAGGAGTGAAGGCATTTGGCTGAGAACAGAACATCACAGGGGATGACTGGCAGGCTGCAGCACCCACACAGGAGAGCTAAGGGACTCCCTCAGCTTCTGCTCTAAGAAGCTTGAGCCACATAAAGCTTTGGGTGTTTGTCAGGAGAGGGTTCTCCTCCTGGGAGAGTGGAGGCTACCAGTAAATTTAACTGGTGAGCCAGTAAGCCATGCCCACGGCAAACCTCATTAGAGCCCCTCGGCTCCGGCACTTCCCTTCTCCACAGAGCAACGGTGCCATCTCCTGGTGCTGCTGGACAGTGCTCCTGACCACGGCCACGGCTCAGAGGAGCCTTCTGGGGATCGACAGCTCCCAGAACACAAAACACAGCGACTGTGATGTCCCTGGGTGTCGCAGGGTCCGAGCAGCGTGGTGGGAACAAAGAGCTCGAAAGCAGGACTTACTGATGGTAGGGATTTTATACAGAATCCCAGGGTGGTTTGGGCTGGAAGGGACCTGAAAGCACGTCTTGTTCCATCCCCCTGCCACGGGCAGGGACACCTTCCACCAGCCCAGGTTGCTCCAAACCCCATCCAACCTGGCCTTGGACACTTCCAGGGATCCAGGGGCAGCCACAGCTTCTCTGGGCAACCTGTGCCAGGGCCTGCCCACCCTCACATGTGGTGAAGGATGAATTCCTTCCCAATATCCCATCTAACCCTGCCCTCTGGCAGTGGGAAACCATTCTCCTTTGTCCTGTTCCTCCATCCCTTGTCCCAAGTCCCTCTCCAGCTCTCCTGGAGCCCTTTTAGGCACTGGAAGGGGCTCTCAGGTCTCTCCAGAGCCTTCCTTTCTCCAGGCTAAACAATCCAAGCTCTCTCAGCCTGTCCTCAAACCTGTTTATGTGTTTGTGGACATCTGATTTCTGATCAGAACGTTTTAGGACTCATCTCTCTCCTAAAAAGCACCAGTCAGGCTATAAAACTTCCCATCCCTCACCGACAATGGACAGCAATTCTCAGGTCACCTTGGGGTTGAAGTTCTCCCCACCGAGCATGAGACCAACAAGAAGTACTCTGCAATCTCTGAGAGCAGCAGGTACCCTTGCTAGGTAGGGAATGAAAGCAGGGAATGTGACTCCAGCCACTCCAGTGCTGATGGGATGGATTTGGAGACAAAAGTCTTGAACAAAGTATGCTCTGAAACGTGCACAGCGGCCTTGAGAGTCCTCATGAAACAACTGTGGGCACACACAAACTGATTTCCAAGGTTGGAAGGGGGGGACACAACCAAAGGAAAGAACATTTAAGCTTTGAGAACCCTGAAATACTGCAATAGGGTCACGCATTTCTTCTTCCAGTAAAGTCACACAGCAGTTTACAACACACAGTATGGAAGCTGAAATATGCATATCAAGAAACATTTGAAGTGTTCAGCTCTGTCTAAGCGTGATTCAAAACCCTCAGTCTTATTTCCCACTCAAGTGCCTCTTATTCCTGCTGCTTTGCATAAAACAAACCCAATTAATTTACACAGTGGGCTCTGATTTCTCTCATTTATTTTGAGTGTCTCAAGCAAGCTGCACTGGTGGGAAGCATCAGTCTTTTAGGAGGCAGATGAGCTCAGCCACACGTGACTCCTCACACAGTATCAGTATAAATCATCACAAACAGCAATACCAGCTTTCTCCTTTCCACTGCCCCCACTCCAAGTAAAAACACAGGGAAAAAAACAGCAAACAGAATAAAACCTCTCAGGTTCCACTGATTTCTTGCATCCCTCCAGAATTTACTGTTACTGTCAGATCTCCACCTTGAGAAATATTCCATATTCAATTGCTTATAGGCCTGAGCAAGCTGGTCCATGTGGATGTAAAATAATACTAGAGCATCACCCTCATTCACCCCTTCTCCTGCCATACCTAGCAACAGATAATCTCTTTTCACTCCCATCACCAGCCTAGGCAACAAAGAGCACAGCAGTAGTTATTCTTTATTACCCTTTTTTCAGGGCTTGAGAAACCAGCTTATCTCCTTTCTAGCCTTACTCCTTCAATTAGACCAAAATCCACTTCATCTTCACCTTCCCTGCTTTCCCAGGGCTTCCACTGGCACCCAACAGGGGCCTCAGGGGCACCCCTAACACACCAGCCACTTACCTTGCCCCTTTTTCCCAAGTTTTCAAACTGAATGTCCCCGAAGGCATCGGTGGGGAGCTCCTTCGTGTGCTTCTTGTAGTTCCATTTCTCACTGGTGTTAACCTGGGTGCCCTCTATGTGCTGGTTTTCGGGGTATCCACACTTACACAAGTTTCCCCTGGAAGAAGAAGGGAACAGACACCCTTGATGACAAACCCAGTCAGGTCACCAGCAGCTTTATGCTGAACTCTGCAACTGTGTGCCCTCACGAAGAAAATGAACCAGAACGTGGCATCAGTGACCCCACCTGCTGCCAACCTGAGGTGGGAGAGTGGCTTCTTCCCCTTTTTGTGCTCTGAACTAGACAGCAAGAGCTCACTGAGGCTCTTCTCCCAAGGGAACAACTGTCAGGACACGAGGAAATGGCCTCGAGTTGCACCAGGAAGGGTTAGATTGGATCTCAGGAAAGATTTCTTCACTGAAAGAGCGGTCAGGCACAGACCCCTGGAAGTGTTCAAAAATCATGTGGGTGTGGCACCCGAGGACATGTTTTAGTGGTGAACAAGGTGGTGTTGATGGTTGGACTTGATGATCTTAAAGGCCCTCTCCAACCCTAATAATCACAGAGTGGCAGAATCGTTAAGTGCAATTGTCTCCCAGGCAAACCCAGGGCCTGAGTGGTGTCTAAGCACACCCAAGGCACTCACATGAGGAGGGAAGGGCTGTCTGGTCTCTGAGCAGGTTTTCCAGGCAGTTTGCTCCATTCTTTCTCTCTCTTCCCAGCCCAGCATCCCTTCCTGGTGTGCAGGCACTGCCCCTTCCCTCCTCACCCACACCATCTGCAGCAGGGCAGGAGCAACCTGCACTTGGGCTGTGCAGCACTGGTGGGGAAAGCTAGGAGAACTCTTCCTGGGAAAAGCTGCACCTCCACCCACGAAATGTTCTGCACAGCCACATCCCTCAGAGGGCACGGACAAAGGGTCACTGCTTCTCTCCCTCCAGAGAGGTTCCCTCCACTCCGCTGCAAATCAAACCAGCTCACCTCAAAACCACACAGACCAAAATAACCCAGCGAGTTCTGCAACCCTTTCCCCGTGGGCTCGGAGGAAGAGAAGCTGAGAGGAACCAGCTCCTCCATCCCCTGTTGGTCCTTTGCCAGACACCCCATTTTAGGTGGCAGAGGAGGACCCTAAGCAAGACTTTCTGAAATGAGATTAATTTCCCTCCCTCTCTCCGAGGCATTTTTCCTCCCAGCTTCAGAGCAGAATGGGGTTAGAGAGCTCTGAGAGCTCTATATTGGGATTTCTGCAGCTGCATTAGTTTGATCACTTTTCTCTTGAGACTACAAAAAAAACCACCAAAAGTCCCTGAAAGCAACGTTATGGTCCCCAAACTTGCATTGCACAGGTACCTGTGGTTGAAAATGGAGCCAGGACAGCATCTTGTCTTAAGAGAACATCAGCCTGAGCAAAACCTAGGGAGTGTCTGTCTCTGCTGTAAAGGCTGGTGCATGAAATCTGTGACTTGGCTTTAAGAGGAAAATTTAAATTATGCAAACCTCTGACACATACATACATCGTTACACACCAATACCAGTACTGCATCCTTTAAAAGACCTGTACATTGCTGCAGTTATGCTTCAAATAGGGTATTTGATATCAATTAAACCCTGTGACAAAGCTGCTGGAAGGTCAGACCCATAGTTTTGCATCGAGTTGTTTGGGGAGCAACTCATACAAGCCAGACCAAGGTGTGGTTGCACTGCTAAATTCATTTCTTAACAAAAAAAAAGAGAAAAGCCAGCAGTTTACTCCCTGCCTTAGAAACACCCTCAGCTGCCAGCCCCCCACCCCTGCAAAACAATCGGAAAGCACCTCCTTACACTGACTTGGAGTCCTTCGTAAAAAAGACACATTCTCTCTTCTTAAAGTTTTCTTGGATGAAGTTGGCCAAATCCTGGAAGATAATTTTTAGAAGTTTATTTCTGACAACTCAAGAAACAGAAGAAACCTAATTAGCAGCAGTCAGTTTAAACCAAGATGCTACTTAAAACAGCGCAGCAAACACTGGTTCTTCCTGAGAGTAAAGAAAGAAAAGAAAGAAAGAAAAGAAAGAAAGAAAAGAAGAAAGAAAAGAAAGAAAAGAAAGAAAAGAAGAAAGAAAAGAAAGAAAAGAAAGAAAAGAAGAAAGAAAAGAAAGAAAAGAAAGAAAAGAAAGAAAAGAAGAAAGAAAAGAAAGAAAAGAAAGAAAAGAAAGAAAAGAAAGAAAAGAAGAAAGAAAAGAAAGAAAAGAAAGAAAAGAAAGAAAAGAAAGAAAGAAAAGAAAGAAAGAAAAGAAAGAAAGAAAAGAAAGAAAGAAAACAAAAAAAGAAAAGAAAGAAAGAAAAGAAAGAAAGAAAACAAAAAAAGAAAAGAAAGAAAGAAAAGAAAGAAAAGAAAGAAAGAAAAGAAAGAAAGAAAAGAAAGAAAGAAAAGAAAGAAAGAAAAGAAAGAAAGAAAAGAAAGAAAAGAAAAGAAAGAAAGAAAAGAAAGAAAAGAAAGAAAAGAAGGAAAAGAAAAAGAAAAGGACAACATTTTCCAGGGTAGAGGCTATTTGAACTCAACACATTAAGACCCCCAAAGGAGACCTGAACAACTTCAAGTCATGCTTTATGGGAGCTCAGTAGAATACAAAGCCTCTCCAGCTTGTTTAACCATTAACTCTCCTATTAACCTCGAAACTCCAGGAGCCCAGGGAAAGCTTTCACACTCGGGGAATGCAAATTCCTCCTTGACCTGCCTCTGCCAGCTACCAAAGCACAGCGCAGTTCTCACCTGCTGATAAAGGGTCGGCAGGGTTGTTTTCTTGGATTTGCAAGGCAAGATTTAGCTCAGGACAAAGAGGGGAAGACCTGAAGCTACAGTTAAGTTTACTAATTTGACACAGCATTTGTGGGTAAACAGCAACTAGAGCAAGTTATTCCAGGTCGAAAAAACACACAAAGTACAATATCCAAACCAAAGAAAATCAAAAGGAATGTACTTAACCAGTAGAAGTCACAATGGGGCAAGACCAAAAAGACAAAAGGGAGGGGGAGGCACTTGCTAAAGCCCTAAGAAGCAGCAAGCCGGTCAGGAGCAGGGAATCTGTCAGACAATTGCTGCAGTCAGCAAATCATTCCAGCAAAAGGGGGTGCTTCACGTAATTCTGTGTTGTCTGCCTCGGCCAGCAAGCTGCTCAGATTTGTCCCTCTGAAAACACGAGAAAAGATTTAAAACCAGGAGGGGCTGAGGACGTACAACAAAGAGTTTTACAGGGATGGAAAGGAACGCAGCACATCCTCAAGAGATGCCAGCAAATCACTGCTACTGCCCCAAGGGCGCTGCCTGGGGAATCCCCTCCGCTAAGGGAGCAGTGACAAACCCATCCTCCTGCTCCTGACGTGCCCCCAGTCCCTGTCCCAGGGCAGCAGGGGTGCCAGGCACTCACGGCGTCGCTGCAGGCCACGTCGATGCTGCGGGACATGCTGGAGTACAACAGCCTGGAGCTCTCGAAATTGCCATTTCTCCGGTGCCTCATGGTGCCCATGGAAACCTGGAGGAGCACGGCAGAGGGGTGGGGGTGGAGGAGCAGGTTTCTCTCACCAGCAAGGACACTTCGTGCCCTAGGAAGGCAAGGCAGAGGTTATTTCAATCCCACCATACAGATTAAGGAAGTACCATCCTCAAAAGGCAAAACATTCCAAAACAGTGTTTTCTGTTATTTCATACCTCAAAGAGACTTCCTTCTTTCTTTCCCCACTCCAAAAGAATGCCAAGGACACATCCTTTGAGGGAGGAACATACCATATATGCCACCCCATGAAATTCATGGCCATATCTCAACTCTGTCTCTGATGGGACGCTCAGGACTTGGCTGTTCAGGGCTCAGGCACCTGAGCAGTGCCTAGCCCAGTGTATTTACAGATTAAAGGGGATTTTTGAGTACATTTTGAGTACAAAGAAGGCAAAGTGCAGTGTGGAAGCACGTGGCTCAGCAGTGACCCAGGAGCTTCCAGCAGCAGCTCTGTCCAGCCTGGAACAACCACAGTCAACACACACAGTCCAAAGGGTGAGTGGACTGGATATTGGATCCAAGAGTTAGGAAGTCACCCTTGGGAGCAAAGTGACTTCAGGTGCCCTCTAAGGCACATCCCTGTATTAAACTCACCCTCTTTGAAGGAGCATCACTGCCCTTGCAGCAAAGCACGGACAAAGACTGTACTTACTCTACTGCAAGCACTTCCATTCCCTTCCTGCTGCTTTCTGAATAATACTGGAAAAGGTCTTTTCCTGAAAGGAAAGCTGTCAGCCAGCTTACATGGTGAACTCAAAGTCCACCTGTCCTTCCAATGCTGTTTTCTCCTGCCTTGACCTCTGGGGTGACCCTGCCACTGCATGGCACAAAGCATCCCTGCCAGGCACAGAAACACTCATCCTGCTGCCCTGCTGAGGAATCCCCCTGTAAATACATAAAACTTCTGAGAGCCGAGAACCAGCAAGTGTGAAACAATCTCCTTAGGGCACCTGACACAGCAGGACTGGCACAGGCTGTGCAAGCTGCAGCTGTCAGTAAAATGATGGGAGTGTGATGTGGGCAACCCCCAAAGCAGAAAGAAAAGGCAAGATTCCACAAAACTACATACATTTTTATTTTATAGTTATTTTAAAAATCCTTCGAAAATCACGTTGTGTTGAGGGGGAGCACGACTGACTCGTCATTTTCTGTGCATGGTAGAAGCCTTCAGCTGCTTCTCCCAAATTCTGCAGCGAGCCTGGGATCTCCATCACTGCCAAGTGACAGGAAAAAAAAGCCCTCTTCTTCCCTCCCAGCTTCTGCACAGGACAGGAGAGATTTAAACCCAAGAAAAGGCAAAAGGCAGAAAGTGAAGGGGTGGATGAGAGGCTCCAACCTGGCAGTGAAGCACCGTGGAGATAAAGACATGGAAAAAACCCCACCTTGTCAGGCACAGTCTGCAAGAAACCTCAGGAGACTGGGACTGGGCAGCTGATAGGGATGGAAACCTGAGGTTGGAGGATATTGTTAACTGTGCACTGGGAGACATATTTCCTAATAACCCAGAAAGCAATTCTTACCATTTCATATGATTAATGTTCAGTGTAAAGATGTTTTCAAAGCTGTAATTCCAGATAAAAGCTCCGTGGAGGGAAATTACGTTTTGGTCCCGATCTATGCAACTTATTTATTGACAGTTTTACTGGCACTGTTGGTTTGTTTAATAAGTTTAACACCAGGAAACTGATTATGGACACAATTGTACAGAGAAGATTAAAAGGAAAGGGTATTAAATAATTAATTCCAAAGACTACAGGATTACAAGTTTGCCCCGCTGCAGAATTGATAAGAATGAATGTGTTGCAAATAAAAAAAAAAAAAAAAGTTTGAGAGCACAAAGGAGCCCTGAAAACGTGGGATTTAATTTTAAATTTAAGTTCTGAAAAGCATCACTGATAGCTCAGTGTTTGGCTGGTATCAGCGACGCCCATTAACTCCTCAAGCGTTGGAGGTAACACAGCAATAACATACATTCTAAAAGATGTGACACAGCTGCATCCCACAGAACAGGCAAACAGTTCATTTTTTTATCACATTTCCAACCCGTTAAATTAAATATATAAGATATTAAACGTATTAAAGCATAACTTTATTAAAGTAACACATACTGAGAGTAACAGCCACTAGAAAAACACCACAAGAATCCTCTAAAACATAAAGGCTAATGCTGTGGCTTCCACAGCGCTTGAAGGAGCATATCCCCAAGGAAACCTTCAGCTTGGAGGTGACTAAAAAGAAAGGGAAGTGACAAAAAAAACCCAGCTAGTTCGAAAGAGACTTTTAACGTAGGCTTTTAAAAACCGGTCCGCAACTGAGAAAGCAACACCAGCTTCCATTCCCGGGCAGCTTCCAGATAAATAAATATAACCCCTGTTAGCGTTAAACACAATCAATCCCAGCAGCTGACTGTGAGAAAGCTCTCAGGAAGCAGAGGATGCTGCCGAACTCCGGCAAATTCAAACTCTATACTCCTAAGGACAGAAAACGAATCAAGGTTTAATCGGGTACCCCAGACTTACCCGAGCCTCCAGGACGTGCCCCAGCAGCCCCACTGCGCTCACGGCTCCGGGAGGCAGCTTTTGATATACTCCGGCTCGCAAAGCCCCACCTTTACCCGTGTCACGCCTTCCTTTTGCGGGGGAGGGAGGGAGGGATCAGGAGCAAAGGGGAACAGCGGGATTGTTCATCAATTAGCAGCGAAAGCCGCTCAGTGCAGCGGGGCGGAGAGATGAGAGCAGCGATGCTGCTGTGCCCACCTGCTGCCCCTGGACCAGCAGCGCTGCAGCTCGTTCCTGTCAGCAACAAACAGCACCGCTGAAAAGCCAGGGGTATAAGAAAATGCTGGGGGGAATAAAGAATCAGATTTTAACGCAGCAGAAGATAGTGAAGCGCCTGTAAAATCGACACCTGTTAATCTGATTTTCAGCGAGGTTGGTGAAGCGCTGCAGAGGATTATGCAGGTGATGCTCTGACCCCCAAAAATATTAGGCAGTGTCCTAATTTTCTGTTTGGCACTCAGCAGGGAGTCATCTGGCTTTCTCCTGCCTTTAAGTTAAGGCTTTTCACTTTGGTAAGAGCAATTCCTATTGCAGTGATGATATTCAGTGAGTCCTTGGAGAGGCTGATTATCCCCAGTCCTCTCCCCTTTCAGAAAGCAGAGCTGCACCATGTGCTGCTGGAGAAACTTCTACAGCCTTTTAATCACCCAGTTTGAAGCCACTTTAGGCCAGGTTGGAGAGGACTTGGAGCAACCTGGGCTAGTGGAAGGTGTCCCTGCCCGTGGCAGGGGGTGGCACTGGGTGATGTTTAAGATTCCCTCCAACCCAAACCACTCCTGGATTCTAAGTCTCAGGATGATCTTTCCTTCTGTGACGAAAGGTAGGTTTATTATCCTAAATCTCACATGACCTTGGCATACACCCATCTCCATGTGCATGAATTATCACTTAGGGCAGCATCCAAGAGCTCCCTGTCACCTGGGGGCGGTTCAGCCCAAAGTTCACATCCAGTGATCCACTGCCCCTAAGGAATGCCCAGAAAACATAAACACCAAAGACAAGCAGCTAAGCCAAACTGGGCACCCCAAGCATAATTCAGAAACACTCTCTGAGTTTCTGGCCCAAGAGTTGTTTCTACAATGAGTGAAGTAAAAGCTGTCAGCACCAGCACTGTTGTTACTGATGCAGGAACCAAAATGGAGAAAGCACTTCTACTACTACAAAAAAATGCAAATTCATGTAGATATAAAAGCATTTTCCATTGCACTGAGAGCAGAGAAGAAGCTGTAAGGAAGAAGGATGCTTCTGCATGTGAATAAACCTTATAATCTTTTTTTTTTTTTTTTTTTTTTTGAAAAGCATGAAACCAGAAAACAGATTTAAGGAAAATGGTGCCTGAAGAGCTACAGAGATTTGAGCCCTGCTTCTCCCACGGTGGAGAAAAATAAGTCCAATAGGATTTAATTCCATGGCTGGTAGAAAATCACCTTCTATCCCAGGACCTGTGAGAGCTTGAGAGGGGTTTTTTGTGGGTGAAGGCAGAATTCATGCTGCCCCTGTGAAGTTAAATAATATAACAGAATCCCAAGATGGTTTGGGTTGGAAGGGACCTTAAAGCTCATCCAGTCCCACCCCCTGCCATGAGCAGGGACACCTTTCACCAGCCCAGGGTGCTTCAACCTGGCCTTGGACACTTCCAGGGATCCAGGGGCAGCCACAGCTTCTCTGGACAACCTGTGCCAGGGCCTGCCCACCCTCCCAGGAACAATTTCTTCCCAATATCAAACCTAAATCCCTCCTCTTTTAGTTTAAAAGCATTTCCCCTTGTCCTTTCACTATCTGCCTCTGTAATATATATTAATTCTGCTTGTAAAATCTACTGGGGGGGGAGTTTTTGGGGGTTTGTTTTTTAAAGTTAACCTCAGTTCACCACACCAAGGAAAATTCTTAATGCCAAGGAGACTGTCATGGGCAGACAGCAATAAAGTCACCATTACTGGCCAAGAAATCCTTTTTTAGGAACAAGGTTGTTTTGGCTGCTGAGCTTTGAGCCACACATTTTATAACAGCCTGGTCTAGTGGGAGGTGTCCCTGCCCATGGCAGGGGTTGCAATGAGATGAGTTTTAAGGTCCCTTCCAACCCCAACCATTCTGGGATTCTGTGATTATTAACCCACTGTTTCAGCATCTCACCACAGATCAGGCAGGGTTTCAAAGCTTGGGCTCCACAGAAGCCATTGGTTCATCTTCTGATGGATCAAATGGGCAAGAAAGTGAAATACTTCCTCTGTTGAGTGCTAATCACCACCATTCCCCTGGCTAAATTCTCCCCCGGGGATCACCAGGGAGAACGAAGTGTCAAACACTGTGGTGGAACAGCCAGACTCATTACAGCAGCTCAAACAAAGCGTTCCAGGGAGATTCACAAAGAACATTCCCATCCAAGGCATCCCTCCGGATTTCTCTTGCTTTGGCTGCAAGCTGTTAACACTGCTCCTGTTTCTGAGCAGGGAAACAGGCACTGATGCAGCTGCCAACAGAATTCCATCTGCTGGGCACGACCTGCCTGCTGTATCCCATTTATTGCTCACGTAACAATCCACTTCTCTTCTTTCCCGAACTGCAGAAATTCCCCTTGAAGAGGGGAACAGCTTGGGTGTGGCTCCTCACCCTTCTCATGATGTGATTTTGGACCCATAACCCCCGGGGAGAAGTGGTTTGTCACATTTCCAGTTGAGACACTCCATTTCTCAACAGCATTAGAGGCAGAGGAGGAACTGTGAGGTAACACCTGACCACTTCCACCCTCAAAAGCACCTTGAACACAATGAACACAAAAAAACCAGAGGGAGAAATAGAGAACTGCTGCCATTTGAACTCCATGCCCTTTGTATCTCTACCTCACCTGGCTCCTTAAATGCTTAACTTTGCTGAGACCAACTGGGAAGTTCCCTGTTTGTGTCTTTTGCCATTTCCCAGCTCTGGGGAAGGATATCTGAAGCTGCTGCCCAGATGGCAGCTCAATATTCCAGCAGTGGCAGGTCAAAATTCTGGCAACAGGCACCCCCCAAAAGCACTGAGAGAGAGCAGAGAAAACTTAAATCAAACAAGAGGACAAGGATAAACTTGTCCCAGTTTTGTGGGTTTGGGGTTTTTTTTGGCAGTGAGAGATCTGACTCCTGTTTCTGTGTGTGTGGACCCCTGGGATGCACACACCAGCCACCAGCCTGAGATAATACAGTCTATTTGTTGCCTTAATTTTGGGTTATATTAAAGCTCAGTGAGATGAGGAGCAACAGAAGGGATTCACTGCAAAAAAGGGTAAATAAAACTACTCAAACTATAGCAGAGTCCTGTCTGAAAAGCACAGGTGTGGTAAGTCCCTTTATTATACAACTCCACCAACAAAAATACAGCAGAACTGCCTGAAAACCCAAATCATCTTAGAAAAGCCCAAAGAGCACTTTTCTGTGGAGACAACTGCTCAGTTCTGTGAACAGGCAGCACTTGGGCTCTCCTCATCTTTTCCTGTATTTGGGGAGGCAGGGGCTCTGCTGACAATAAACCAAGGTGCACATGGAAACCCCTTTAAAATGGCAGATTTCTGGCTGGCTGCTCAAGTCACAGGGATTTCAGATTCATCACTGAAAGCACTTTTGTAATTTTTTAGCCATTTGCCTGAAGATGGAACAGAATATTCTGCCAAGCCTACAATGACACACTGCGGGGCACAGCAGAGGGAACGCACTCTACTGCAAAATGGCAATATTTTGGTAATTCCTGATACTTGAACTGTTCTAGAAGTTTTAAATTCCATCAGTAATCCTTTTTTTTTAAGCACTTATTAATCTGCGTGTGGAACTACTCTCACTGAAAGAGGACAGTCTCCTGGACAAATAGAAGTGTGACCTTGCAGAGATAAAGTCCTACAATTATGGGACCTTGAACCAGAGCAGAGCGCTCTGGCTGAGCCCTCTCTCATCACCCATCCTGCTGTCCACAGGCATTTTAAACCCTATTTAACAATTTACATTCCTAAATGCAGACACTTGGATTTCCTCTAAGTGTGAGAGTGCATTGCATTTGAAGAACAGTGAAGTCATGCCCGTGTGCCTGTCAGCCCAGAAAGCTTTAAAAGTGCATTTTGGTGTGAAATATTAATAGGCATGAACAGAACACTGGCAGATTCTTTCTGTAAAAGCCCTAAAAATATAATTAAAAAAGAAATCCACCAAAAATAATTATGTAATTTTCAGCTTATCAATGCTGAGTGACTAGAAATTGGGCACCTCAGGCTTTTATGCACTTAATTTGATGGAAATGTTCTGAGAAAGTTTCATCAAGCTTTAAAAATGATGAGGGGAGAGGAAAAGCTTTGGATGCTTGAGATCAGATTTAAAAAAACAAACCAAAACCCAAACTTAAAAGGAACAAGAAGCTTCTAGTCAGCACACTAGAGTTGGAGACTCACTCCCACCAGTTTTTCAATGCACAGCTTAGCTCCAGCTCCATGGATTTCTTGGAACTGAGCTAGAATTAAAATAAAAATGTGCATTAACAGAGAATAATCCAGTTGATGACAATCAGAGGGAAGTGACAGCGCTGACACAGCACTTCTTGAAGTCATGGACTCAGGAATTAAAATGGTCAAAACTAAAAAACCTTGAACTTTAAAGTAGCAATAAATTCTCCTCGCATTTGCACCAAATCTAAGCATCATCAAAACCATCTTCTTTAAAAGGTGTGGGTTTTTTTCTGGTTCTATTTTCTTTCCTTTTTTTGTTTGTTTGTGGTTTTGGGTGGTTTTTTTAATTGTTGTTGTTGGTTTTGTGTTTGTTTTCGTTTTTTGGTTGTTTTTTTTTTTAAATACATCTGAATATACCCAGAATATTTAAGAAAAATATCAAGTCCATTCACTTTTTTTAAGGCTCATGGTAATATTGCTGCAAGATTCAGAGTATTATCCTTAGCAATCACTGGCATCACTCACTGCTGTGAAGTTCATAATAGAGCCACGCTAAATGATACATTTTTCTATTTTGAGAGTTTATGAGCAACATTCACATGTCTGTTTTGC